ATAAATAAATATATACATACATATACATATATATATATATATGAATATAGATATATACATCTTTATTTATTCGTTTATTCATTGGTTTGTATTATATGGGGGCCTATGGTAAGTCATTGAGCGAGCCACCCCGATAATAAGAGGGACAGCCAGGTAGTAAAAAAGGACCTTAAGCAGCAGGACTGTGCAACAAGCCGTACAGGCACGGGGAACTTCACCCAAGACATACAAAAAAAATCTAAAGCCCCTAAACCCTTTTTTCATCTGGACTTGGTGAATGCCAGCATGTAAAGCCGAAACCCTAAACCCTAGCAAAAGAAAGGCGGAAGTCTCCCGTCCAGGCCTGGGGCGCATCCAAAGCTATCCAGAATGACGTAATCGACCACCTCTATAGGGCGAAGGCTTTAGGAGTTTAGGGTTTAGGGTTAGGGCGAAAGCTTTAGGGGTTTAGGTTTAGGGTTTAGGGTTTAGGGTTTAAGGTTAGGGCGAAGGCTTTCAGGGCAGCGAAGTCCTCTTCCAGGACTACAGGCTGAACTGCTGCTCTTTAGTTCGCCATCTTGGGCTTGCTGTGATGCGTCCAAACACGAAACCCTGAAACCAAATCGCTGCACACCAGCGACTCAGGCCGTGACTACTGCACATCACCAGTCGCGTCATTTTGTAGCAACAGCCCTCGGCGACCCACATGAGAGGCTCAGAAGACACTTTTCAATAATGCAGTTCCAGAACAATAGGATTCCCGGCCTGTCCGGACTGGATGATGTAAGTCATCAGCGTCAGCATGAGGTAGACCTGGCGTTTGGGGCTTAAGGGTTTCGAGTCTCCGGGTTATCAAGGTTTTACAGTTTAGGGTTGTGAGAATGAGGATGTGGTCTGGTTTCTGGTGCTTGCCGCCTGCTGTGCGGTTGAGAGGCATGGGAAAGCGTGTAAGATTTTGAAGACATGGTGTCTGCTAAGGGCAGAGCTTGTCATAGATCCTAGGATGCGAGCCGCAATCTCTACTCCAGCTGACCTCATTCAGAAACACCTCTAAACCCTACACCCTTCTTTGCTATGGCTGACAACTCAGGAGCTCAAGGACATGAAAGGGTTCCTCGAAGGGCCATCCAAGAAATGGTTCCATCAGCAGCTCCTATGAGGCTTCATAGAAGGTCGATCTGTTGCACAGGACAAGCACGCACCAAAGCAACGCTTACTCCCAATCTTCCGACGCTGACATGCCTTATCCGGTCCAGTGCTAATTTCTACAGGGCTGATAATCTAGAATCGTTTAGGGAGTTTGGGTCACGGGCTAGGGTTTAAGGTTCACGGTTGAACGCAATGGGCCAGTATCCCAGTTCCGGGTTGACCTTTGTTGAGCCTATAGCTAGGGATGAGGAGTACCGATTAAAGTTGGATCCCCGCAATATGGCGTAAAGACTCCCAGTACGTAAACGGAAGCAGGGTAGCCAACGGTCCGAGAGTGGCTTTGCGAGTTCCTGCGCGCACCCCTGCAAGAAGCCAACCGTCATAAATCTTGAAGGAACCATGCCTCACTTCCCGGCCTTTTCGGGCTGTAGGGCTATGTATTCCGGCATTATGAAGGCCAAGTGACATGGTAGATCAGCATCATGGCATGATCCAGTGGAAATGGAAAGTAGTGACGAATCAAGTCGCTGAACTCGATGCGGCGGGAAAACTCCTGGACTTGTTTGGCGGTTCTGTTCTCGGCTGGCATCAAAAAGGCTGCGCGCATCGTGTCTACACACCAAAATTACTGGGCTTCGATGTGCGGATGATAACCCTAAACCCTAAAGCCTAAATAGGACTGCAGGATCAAGCTAGTCACTAGTCGACCTTGCCACAGGTCTCCATGGAAAGTGTAGTGCTGCCGGGGTTTAGGGTTTAGAGTTTAGGGTTTAGGGTTTAGAGTTTAGAGTTTAGGGTTTAGGGTTTAGGCTGCCATGTCATTGCTGTCCGGATCGATCCCAACTACCGCATGAGTATATTCGGAATTTTCATTCCGACTTTGCTGTTGGGGTATGTAACGGGTTGAAGAGGAATCCGGCTGACTGAATCTAACTAACACAAATTGGGGAAGTTAGGGGTTTAGGGCTTAGGGTTTAGGGTTTAGGGGTTAGGGGTTTAGGGGTTTAGGGGTTTAGGGTTTAAGTTAGGGTTTAGGGTTTAGGGCTGAGAGTTTAGGTTTCTATAACTGGAAAGCAAAACGATTGGACAGAAGAGCCCTCCTCGTTCTCCGGCATGCGCTGGACCGCCTCAACAAGCCTGGGAAGTCCATGGTGGAAAGTGTGGGCCGACATCTTCTTAGGGGCTGAGTACCCTAGCCCAAAAAAAGTTAACCTTTTGGATTATAGTAGGATTATAAGAGCCCCAGAAGGTTAAAGGTTACCTACTCAGCCAATAAGTCTTGTCTGCAGGAAGGTCTCACCAAGCGCCGAAGCCCTGCACCCGATCCCCAACAGCCACACCATCTGTTGTACCGGACCCGTAGCCCCAACCCACAACCTGCAAGCCCTGCACATAAAAACGACTAGCTTGTGTTTAGGGTTTAGGGTTTAGGGGTTTAGGGGTTTAGGGGTTTAGGGTTTAGGGTCTGATCCCTGGAACCCTTCAACCTCTTCCCGCTTCACCCCGTAAGCTTCGTCGCCTGTTTGCCCCGCAACCCCCGATGTACCCAATCAAACTAGAAGAGCCGGGAAAGCATTTAGCAAAACACGCAAACTTCTAGAAGACCATCGAAAGACGAGTCACAAACATGTTGACTCTTGAAATATGCCAAGCCCCTCGCTTCAGCTTCAGCCACCCCGACATCCTAAACCTAAACCTCTCTCTCTCTATCGCATAAACCTAAACCTAAGCCTGGAAATCCCATCCTAAAACCCAAAACCCAAAACCCTAAACCCTAAACCCCAAAAGCTGTGCCTGAAAACCCGCAACCCCAGATCCGACCCTTCGGGCTAGGTATCCGAGTCGCAGCAGACCGCAGCCGGCCGACAGGGCTGCAACACCCAGCATCACCAGGAGCCTTCTCTGCTCAGGGCTTCGGTGTAGCATGTGTTGTTTAGGTTCAGGGTTGGGGATATAGACTTTGGAATGTGTTCTATTATTGCTCTTGTGTGTGTGTGCGTGATTTGCGCCTGCATGCGGCGTAATGTGTCTGTACGTGGAAAGCTGTGAAGCTTCACATGGTCTGCTTTAGGGTTCATAGTGTTCAACAGGGATCCGAAAAACCTTACCTCAAAAAAGGCTTACATCGCGCCGGGCTTCCTCGGGCGTTTCTAGTGTATGTGATTATGCTGGAAACTTAACACATGAACCCGACACCTGTGCAGCAACGCCGAGCAGCCATCAACACCCCCAGGTTTAAACGTTTCTGTGTCATTTGCCCTTCTGTGCTGGATGTCTCGGTGGCCAGCGTTTGGGTGAGCTGATTTCTGCGGCTTTTCGGGTCTTGGATCGGCTGTCCTGTCTGAACGCCAGAGTTACGTATTACGTTGGTGACTTGACTGTGATGGTTTTCTCCAACATCGCCCTCTGTTGAGGTTCGGGAGCAAGGGTTTCCGAGGCAGAGTCCTCTCACCGTGGCACTGCTATGCTGCCAGGATGCATTGCCAGCCATCCCGCTTTCTGGGCCAGTCCTGCTGGCGGATTTACCCCAGCCTAAAGCCGCAATCCGGCCCAAGCCTCCTCCCAGAAAGGGGTAAGTTGCACGGCCGGGGCATGTCATGGCTTGCAGTTAAGGGGGCTTGGCTTAGGGCTTGACATAATTAATTCTAGGGTTTATAAGGGCCGTTTCAGGGGCTCAGGGTCGGGATTTCGGATTTTAGAATGTACCTTAAAGACGATATGATGTTAGGTTCATCTATCATATAACATAAGGGTTCATAGTACAAGTAAGATTATAGGGTCCTCCTACTTTTAAGGGTCCTTTAGCTCCGAAAAGTCAATTTCAAGGCTTAGAGCGCACTTGTGGTATGCGTCAACATTATATCACTACTGTCAGCGTCCATAAAGAGGATCCTGGGTGCAGGGTCTCCCTTGACCCACCATACTGTTGATGGACAAAATCCTGCATGACCTTATATACCTAAACTATGGGAATTATGGTGCTATACTTGGGTCATGCAGGATTTTGTCCATCAACTGTAGGACCTTACTGTAGCCCCGGATTACCTGTGAATGAGGAACCTAAAAGAGCCCATTAAGGGGCACTTGGGGGTCGTGGTTCTGCTCGACACAAAACTATAGTTGGAGTCTCCAAGAGCCCTTATAGCTGCCCTCTACCTGCAGTCTCCGTTGTAGTTCCCTTTTTGGATTCAGCTAACCAAGCTTATGTTTAGGATCCATAAGCTAAGGCAACTTCGGGTTTTTTGAAGGGGCTTTGGCAGGCTAGAAACCCAAAGCTTGCCCTCGATCCAGGATTTGACCCTAAACCCTAAACCCTGAACCCTAGACCCTAAACCCTAAACCCCAAACCCTATAGGCCTAGGCCAAGGGCGCGCTCCCCTCTCTTTTCGGCTTTCGCGTGCGCTATAGCTCGTTTATGTCATCGAGGTTGATGCTGGGGTCCAGGTCCAATGGCTTTGTGCCATGCTCTTCGGCAAACCTCACTCACGGCTTTTCGGGTTTGGAACTTTGGGAAGGGGACAACTATGAGCTTTGGTGATTCGTGGCTTACCTGTCCGTACTGGGTGTTGCGCATACATGTCAGCCTTATCACGGCTCAGGGCTACGTTTCACGGCTTCGGCCACTCACCCTCCCGAAACAGTTGCAGCATGTTGCAGTACAGGAGTCGTGCTTGGACAGTGGTCGAATATAGGACACCTGCCCCTTAACCTTGCGCCCTGTTACCCCATGAGCTTGGCACTGCGTGCTTAGAAAGTCGATCAGGCTAACACCCACACCAAAAGATCCATCCAGATGGGGGTTTCAGAAAATAGGGGACCCTAGTATAGTACCCCAAATTTTAGGATCCTTATTATAAGGACCCCAAAAGAAGGTACCCTTGATTTCGGAAACTCCCAGATGCTGCAGAAGATGCTGAACCAGGTGCGAGACGGTCCGGTTTCCATGGAAAAGAATGGGCTTCTTCGTGCCTGCCTGCTGGACGCGCACCAGAGGATCTGCTTACACATCTGCACATCTAGACCCCAAAACTCCACTGCCCGAACCCTTGTTGAACCCAGTCTGACCCTAAACCCTAAACCCTAAACCCAAAACTCCACTGCCCGAATATGCGAGTGCAGCATTGAACCCAATGCCTACACCCACGCCCTAAACCCCAGGAGCCGAGAGTTCCCGACCTAAACCGCGAAACAATAAGTCCTGACACCCCCGAGCCAAGGCTTAAGTACAAATTCCTCCCACACAGGAACCCCTAAACCCTAAACCCTAAACCCTGAACCCTAAACCCTAAACCCTGAACCCTGAACCTAAACCCTGGACCCTAAACCGTTATTTTGTGCTCTCACAGCTCGGACTTGCCAGATGCCGGGTTCTAGTTTAGGACCGTTGTGGATTCAGAGGTTTAAGGGCTCAGGCTGCGCCCACGTTGTGACGGAGCGTTTATAGGGTTTAGGGTTTACGGCTCAGGGCGTTTATGATGTGTAGGATTTGGGTATGGAGCTCCATGTGCTCCCATGGCGCAGCTTACGAGCGCGACGTACGCCACAGCATTGGCGCAGGGTTCGCGTGTTGCATTGTGGCTCGATGATTAACAATCCCCCGTCGATATTAATGGCCTCATTGGTCAAAATACGCCGACAATTCCTGGTGGGGAAGGGTTTTTTTTAGCCCATCTTCAAAATCCTGACCCGAACCTCATTGTGCAGAAGTGCATTCTATTGGGGGCGTTCCCCAGCGACCCCTTCACAATGAGGGTGCCCTTATTCCTACCATTCCCTCTCAGCGTTGTTTCTGCTATTCTTTCTCACTAAGGAGGCAGTTGACAAACATAGAAGGTACCCGAATCGCTACTCGATCTGCTGACGGCAAAATACCTTGGGAACCAGCCGCAAGACGGCAGTTCCTAGAAGGCCAGGCCTTCACGAAGAAAATGTGGGGGTACGAAGTCCACATAAAGTCGTCGGGCAGCGGAGAGCCTTGACTAAACCCTAAACTTCGTCGCCTTTAGTTGAGGGTTATTTTTCCTACCGAAGTCACACTGCAGGGAACTCGGTGGGCTTAGGCTCTGGGGTTTGGGGCTTGGGGGATTAGGGTTTAGGGTTGTTGTCCCACAGCAGTGACTTCAGACGAGATCTGACAAGACCGTTGCAAAAAGGGTTGTTGTCCAAATTCAAATTGCTTCTGGAGGCCGGACACGCGTGGTCGTCTTTCCAAGCAGAAAGCCCCTAAACCCTACCTGGACCCTAAGAAACCTGCCTATGTCGGGCTCCTTATTATGAGTTTCTCCTGCAAGTCCTTGAAAAGGGTACTAGTTACTTAAAGGATCATGGGACTTAGTAAGTAGGGTTAAACCCCAAGTAAGGGACTTATAACCTTACTTACTAAGTCCCATGATCCTCCTAAACCCTAAACCCTAAACCCCAAACCCGAAACCCTACTTACTAAGTCCCATGATCCTCCAAGTAGTTGGACCCTAAACCAGATGGCCGGCAGATGCAAGGCTTAGGTCTCCCCAGATTCGTAAAACACAACAGAGACGCCAAGGGTATTGCAGAGTAGCCGAAAAGGGTGCACATATATATATATATATATGCATATATATATATATAAATAAATAAGTATATATATATATATATATGCGATATATGATATATGAGTATATACTGTGTGTATAATTTTTTTAATATTAATATTAATATTAATATATATATATATACATACACATATATACTACTATTATGGAAGTTGGCCCCCAACACCAGAATAAGGATGGTCTTGCGGGACCTACTTCCATAATGGCAGTATACATGGAGCCTCTGGGTAATGAAGGGAATGCCAAGTAGTTCGGCCCGACTAGGGGGGTTTAGGGCTTAGGGTTTAGCGTTTAGGGCTTAGGGCTCAATACTCTCAGCCCGAATTTTTCGTCCCCCCACCCTACCGGAAGCCCAACCCAAAGGGTCCTGGGCACTGCTATGGGGGGGGGGGGTACTTCCCTAAATCATAACCAGAATTCCTAATGTAGAAACCCTACATTCTACTATGTAGGTACATAGGGCTTTGGGATATGACAGCACGGAGCTGTTCTGGTCCCCGTCCATCTTCGCCACAATCAAGCTTTTCCTCGGCAGGAACTCGAGGTCTTCAGGTTGTGCAGGGGTTAAGGGGTTTAGGGTTTAGGGTTTAGGGTTTAGGGTTTAGGGTGCAAGGGTTTTTGGCATGGAGGTGCACCCAGGGTTTTCAGGGGTTTGGACTTGGTGCACTTCTCAATTTGTGCTTGTCATCCTTGCTTAGGGGCTTGGCCAGGGGTTGAATAGGGTTTACGAGGGTTCCCAGGCTGCGCCCTGCGAAATCGGTCTCCTGAGGTCACATCTGTTCAGGGCCTTCGAATGAGTAGGACATTTGGTCGGTGTGTGTAGCTCGGGTCGTTTAGGCTTCGGAAGGGTTTTAAGGGTTAAGTTCTTGGCAGGTTTGGCTTTTAGGCTATGGCTTGCCTTTGGGGCCTCTGCAGATCAGCTGGAAAAAGGGAGCCAGGGGACATGAGTGGATAACAGAACCACTACTTCACTTCTCACAACCGCGGAACGACCCGTTACCAGGGATTTCTGATACTGACAACCGTGGAACTAGCGAGAGAATCCAAAAAACATGCAAGTGGCAAGTGGCAAGTCTCATGTAGTATATAATACTTAGGCCTTGAAGGGGCTCCTATATAGGTACTTTATAATATTAAATACATTCTATATAGAGAGACTGGCACCCGTTGCCGCATTCAAGCCGTTTGGCTTCCTCACATCGGGAGCGGCTGACTCCTAAACCCCAAAATCTCAGAACTTTGATCCGTAGCAAAAGCCCTGGCCTAAACCCTAAACCCTAAACCCTAAAACTCTAAACCTACATGAACCATAGTGCAAACCCTGAACAGTGAAGGTCCAGATGCGCGTTGGATACGGCCTGTGCGAAGGCGTTCCAAACCTCGGTGTTTCGAACGGAAGAACTCGGGTTTAGGGTTTAGGGTTTAGGGTGGCTCGGCGAGACAGACTGATACAGCTCCATCTGCCCCTTTGTGTAATAGGGATGGCTTGAGGTACAGGGAGGCGGTTAGCATGCTATTTAGCCCTGGCGCACGCGAAACCATCCTACATTCTGTACAAATACATGTTTGCTAAACCCTCAAAAGGCCCATAAAAGGAAAGCTTCTACTCCTCAAATCAAAAACCGAGCCACCGGAAAGAACTTCCTCGAGAAGCCACACCAAGGAGCATACCTGGGTGGGTTTCGGGTTCTGGTTTCAGCACTCTGGGACAAGCCGGGCGAGGTATGTCTGATACGGGCGACGAAGGCAGGTTGGCCAATTAAGCAAAGTTGCGATTTAGGGGTTTCTGGTTCTAGGGTCTAAGGTTCGAGGCTTGAGGGGTTTAGGGGTTCAGGATTTATAAGGGATCAGTGCAGCGCGCTCCCGGGAAACTCTGTGCACCCTACCTACAAATGTGCACATTGAATACACCAGCAGATACGTATACGTTTGATATATGTAATTATGCGTGTCTGTTTGTTTGCATGTATTGATGCAGCGGAAGAGAAAGGCAAACATGGGCCAACTGCAAGGATCTTGCTGTAGTCGGCGTTGAACTCGTCATAGAGTTTTTCCTAAAGCCTAAAGGTCGCGAAAATCCTGAACCAAGCTCCCCTAAGACCGGAAGCGAGAAAGGCTTCATGAGATCTCTCCGAGGGAACAGTAGCCCCGAAGCACAATCAAGCAAGAAAAGCGAGGACCCCAGAGCCGCATAGCAAAAGGGCCCACACAAACGACTCTGGCTGCTGAACCTTTGTAAACAAGGGTTTGTGACTTATGCGTCCCACACCTCGATGTTTAGCTTTACTGCTGCGGTCTTGGACCCTTGTTGCATCCTGGGCTGGGGTTTGACGAGAGTTGGGGGCCACCTCGAAACTTGAGAAATGTGCTGGAGGCATCGACATGCAGGACAGCTGCACCAGCATGAAAACGTCCTTGTCGCGGTGAGACACGGCCTGTCACAGAATTCTGTGAGAGGGGCTTGAACAACTCCAGTAGGGCTTTCTGGCACAGCACACACTTGCTACAGTGCTGATGCAAAAACAATTGATGCTCATACCCGTCATACCCCAACCCTGAACCCTCGTATAGCAGCAGAACCCTAAACCCTAAACCCTAAACCCTGTCGTAAGACCTTTCGCATAAAAGTGTTGGTTCGGAGAACTTTCCACACTCCCCCTCCGCCGGAGCTTTTCGGATCAGCAGCATACCAAATTCTAAACACTAGAACCACATCATATACACTGTAAATTGCAAAGAGGCCGTAGACCATCAAGACCAAGATCCTGCGTTCCAGGCACCACGGGAACAAGACAAGAACTCTCAAATCATCGCACTTGGTCCAAACCTCCTAAGCAAAACTAAAAAGCCTGAAACCGAAGTAAATCAGCTAGAACCCTGCATCGACCCCCAACCCTCCCGAAACCCTACGAACACCCATACAAAAACCACACATAAGACCGCCCAAAACGCAATAACACCCGTGAGCGATCCCACAAAACCTCTCAAAACACCCTCCACATGGGTAGTTCTCCAAATTAGGGTCCCTTTTTGGGTCCCCACAATAAAACGGCACCCTTATAAAAAAGGACCCTGACATTGACCCTAATTTAGAGAACTACCCGCATGGGGCTATAAACCCTAAACCCTAAAACCTAAACCCTAAACTCAAAACACCCTCCACATGGAGCCTCCTCGAAAGTTTTCCCCACGACCACCAGAGAGCCGTCCTGGTAGACAGGATGCCCCTCCGGGATCGGCTCCTGACGGCTGCAAAAGAGGATTCTAATGATAAGAATTGGGTCCTTGGGTTTGGGGGGGGATACCATACATATATATATATATATACATTCGTTCTCTTTTTGAACAGGGCTATGGAGATTTTGTTTACGCGCTTTTACATGAGGATTTAGATGAGTTTGGGGTTAGGGTTTCGGATAAGGGAGTCCATGGTCGCAAGAGCCCTGCATGCAGCTTGCGAGCGAGAATCCCGGATGGCTGGTGCAGAGTTGAGCGGTTACGTTAGGGTTTAGGGTCTATACATATGGGTGGTTGTCAAAATTATTGTCCTTTTTTGGGTCCTTATTATGATACGGCACCTATTATTTAGGGTACCCCAAAAGGGACCCTAATTTTGACAACTCCCCATATGTAGGGTTGAGATAGGGTCTAGGTTTGATTGTCATCCGCCGCAGGTTGCCGTCATGCGCACTGGGCCTCGGTGTTACCCAAGCCGAAGGGTCCCGGTAAGGTTTGTAGGGCTTAAGGTTTTTAGGGTGTATATAGGGTTTATAGGGTTTAGGGCTTAAGGTTTAGGGCTTGTAGGATTTATAGGGTTTGAGGCTTAGGGTTTATAGGGTTTAGGGTTCTGACAGCCGTTTCTGTCGGGGAGTCAAGCTTCAGCTTGAGGGTTGGGTCAGGAGGGCCGGTTTGCCTTGGTTTGTGGAGGCATGGCGACTAAAGGACCCCTTATAGAAGAGCCCCATACCGGCTAACGTTGAATCCTGAAGCAGAAGTAACCAAAACCGTTACCCCGAAATAATCCATGAGCCCTACCCATAGGCTCCATTGTAGCTCCTTTTGGGATTACCTTATAGGATCCTAAATATAAGCCGCAGGAAGGAACTACAATGGAGCCTATGGGTATGTACCCTTTTTTTCAAAAGGTTCAGCCACCCACGATGTGCAACACAGTCCCCTAGACTTGGAACTGCTAGACAATGCTACCCTGCTATAACATCTTTGAGCAAGTACTCCCCCATTTTGAACGGACTTGGGGCCTTGTTTTTGCATCACTTTAAACCCGACAACCCCAAGCCACAAAACCCAAGATTTCCTGACGGATGCGCGCGGATCCGTTCTAAGCGCCGCACAGACTTCGTGAGCAGATCTCGCACCCAGGCGTCTATGGACTCGACGTCCTAGGCTCAAGGCGGGATCGGGTTCTGTAGGGGTGCTGAGGGTCGTAATCGAAGCTTCTGATGGGAGCCATACCGTCTACGATACCTCTGTCCTGCTGAAAACTCGCAACATTTTCATTATCTCAGCAAGCCCAAGGTACATACATACATGGAAAGAAAAACACGTACATATACCTACATACATGCCTATCAACGCGACAACCTTTGGGCCTTAACAACTCGTCTGGAAAAAGCTTCGGGGCATAGTATCGGCAAGTAGTGGACCATAAATGACTGTCAGGGGTAGTTAACCCTAAACCCTAAACCCTGAGCCCTAAACCCTAAGCCCTAAACCCTAAACCCTACACCCTAAACCCTGAGCCCTAAACCCTAAACCCTAAACCCTGAGCCCTAACGAAACTGCCCAGCTGCAAGGCGGCCGGAGTAGGGGATGGGCTCAGGTTTCATCTCGTCCTGCCCAAGAAGAGACGTTTATGCTCTCTCGGTTTAGGGTTTAGTATTTAGTGTTCAGGGTCTAAGGGTTCTTTTTTTGCAGTTGGGGTCGACGCGTTTACGTCTTGCCAGTGGTAGGCACCGAACTCCCCAGAGTTTGAGGGTTCAGGCTGAAGGGTTTAGGGGCTCTGGCTCGCCGGAGAAAGTTCATGGAGCCAAGTTTGGGGTTTAAGAGGTGTGGGAGGTTAGGATGTCAGCTTCCATATGGGCTCCAAAGCCGGAGCTACAGACGGGCTGTGACGTTGCAGTGAAAATGAACAGGTCCTGCCCTGGGACTCTTTTTGCACACAATTTTTGAGGGTTCTACTTCATAATTAGGGGGTGTATTATGGCTGCTAAACTGTGGGTAAAGAGAGTTAAAGGGCTACACTGTCCAGTTTCTATGGCCTCCGCAATGCCATTCGTAGCTTTGCAGCAACCACCGAAGCTCATAGCCCCTGAAACCCCGAACCCGTCTAAACTCTGAACCCTGAAAACTTGGCAGACTCGACCGTCCGTAGCCTACACCGAAAACTCCAAACCAAACCCGCAACCTTACACTGAAAATCGTAATTTGCCTCGTTCTAGTGGCTTGGAACTGTGGGGGTGGAGGGCCCCCCGGGCCATGGAGGAGCAGATTTTGAGGAGGGGCGTGTTTCTATGGCTAGGACGATGCGCACAAGCCGAGGCTGCTCTGGGCTTCTGAGAGTTTTGGGACTTGCTGGGTGGTTTAGAGGTTTCGGGATTTTTTGGGGTGAAGGGATTTGGGGGTTTAGGGTTTGAGGCTGGGAGCTCGGGTGTTCCGGTTTTGGGATCTAAGGATGTGGGTTTGAGGGTTTAGGGTTTAGGGGTGAGGGTTTAGGGTTTAGGGTTTAGGGTTCTAAGGATGTGGGGTTTGAGGGTTTAGGGTTGAGGGGTGAGGGTTCATAGGCAACTTGACACTAGTACTTTCAGAAACCTTTGTCGGTGTCGGCATCCCAACAAGCTCCACGGAGCAACAAGCAACCCTTATGACCCTTGTGCATGCACAACGACGTGCAATACGTTTGGGCTTCGAGTCATTTCGAGTCTGGGTTTGTATATAAAGGATAATTATAATAAATCCTCGCTGATGCCCAAGCATCAAATCGAGGTTCAAGCTAGCAAATTGGTTCCTGTGACCATGCGCATCTCAAACCCAGACACCGGTCTTAAGCTCCGACCGATAAAGCCCTAAGGCTGAATACGATGTTGACACCTTCAAGTGGGTAGTTCTCTAATTCGGGCCCCTCTTTAAAATCCCAAATATAGTACGGCAGACCCTAATTTAGAGAACTACCCAGGTAGCATTATACGACTTAAGGTTTACAAACCACGGCTTTCGGTTTAGGGTTTAGGGTTTAGGGTTTAGGGTTTAGGGTTTAGGGTTTAGGGTGCTTTCGGCCAGTCCAGGAACTTGATATCGTTTTCACTGCTGTCAACGTAGGTCACGGCGACTGTGTCCATGTGCTTGGTTGCAACGACCTCCCCGAGATGGAGCTCCGTTCAGGCTCAAGGGTATCGCGTGGTGACTAAAGAAGGGACCCTTGAAGGGACCCCTGGGATTCGGGTTTAGGGTTTAGGGTTTAGGGCGTGGTGAGATTTTCCTCCTGACTGTATGTTACAAGTTTGCGATGCGGTAAGCTTACGTCTTGCTATTTGGTTGAAGTCTGCTTGCAGCTTACCATGCTCATCAAAGCAGCATGGGAATGGATTAAAACAACATATCCATGCCATACCCTACTCCCTGAACTCTCCCAAACCCGGGAAACTGAACTAAGTCAGCTTGAAATGTACTTCCTCTGCCTGGGGCCACCCTAACCCAAAATCCCTCAACCCTAAAACCAAAGCCAAAGCCCTGAAAGGGTTTAGGGGTTTAGGGGGTAGGGGTTTAGGGTTTAGGGTTTAGGGGTTTAGGGGTTTAGGGGTTTACGGTTTAGCGGTTTAGGGTCATGAACTACGTTTCTCAACCCCCAAACTCCTAAGCCTCGGGCCCTAAACCCTTTAGGGTTTAGGGTTTAGGGTTTAGGGTTTAGGGTCTCAACCCTTTTAACCTTGTACGTCTTAAGCTGAGATTGTAAGTACAGCCCCCCAAAGCCCTGCATCCCCATATGCCTTTTTCAGCCCTAAGCGCCCCCAAGTAATGTTTGTGAAGCCAAGATACAACGCAACCTGAAATCCCTAATCCTGAGGGTCCATGTACTTAAATATTGTATACTGTGGCCCTGAAGTAGCTATATATAGGGACTACATTAAGGCCAAAGTATATACTATTTGGATACATGGACCCTTAGGGTAAACCCTCAACCCTTAACACAACCCTGAACCCAAACGAAACGAGTCGTGCTTCAGGATGCTTCAGGCACCTCAAGGGCTTTGTACAGAGACGAGCCTTTCCTTGGCAAGCAACATCGATACATGCAGGTATGTATGTATGTATGTATGTATGTGTGTATGTATGCATGCATGCATATGTGTATATATACATATATATATATATGTATGTATGTGTACGTGCACGTATACAACATATGTGTGTGATAAATAAATAAATAAAAATATATATATATATATATATATATTATGTATGCACACTCATACAGCTCTCTTCTCCGATAGCAGGTGCCAAAAACTGTAAACGTATAACGCCGACAAGTTTATAGTTCTCCCATTGGCTAAGTAAGACATGCGTACGTACATAAACATATACATGCATACATGCATGCATGCATACATACATACATACATGCATGCATGCATACATGCATACGTACATACATACACATACGCACATATACATGCATGCACACACATATACGTAGTGATGTACACACGCATACACACAAACACGTACACATACACATGGACATACACACACACACACTTTTGCACATACACATACACTTACATATACATATATCTATATACATACGTGCACACACATAGACACACCTACATACGTACATACATACATACATACATACATACATACATGCATGCATACATACATGCACACACATGCACGCACATACACATATAAACACATGTGCATACATACATACGCACACACATATGTACCTGCGTTTACTGGCACATGCTAGTATTCTTCCATGTAGCTGCTACGAACAGTCTAGCTGTCTAGCTGTTTATGGGCGTGTCTTCCCACGAAAAGTCTCTCACTGTTCTACTTGTAGTTGACGGTACCATCCTGGTTCGCAGCATCCGCTGTTGCTGTTGCTATTGTGTCACCAAGAGCCTCGTCAGCACCATCAACTGCAAGATGATGGACAAGGCGTAACTGGTGCTGGTGCTGAAGATGATGGTGATGGCAAACCCTAAGGGTCCATATACCCAAATAGGATATACTTTGGCCTTAATGTAGTTCCTATATTAGTACTTTGGGGTCAATGTATATACTATTTGGGTACATGGACCCTTAGGGAAATGCAATGCTGCATACTTGGGCACCATGCGCTGATGCGATGCTAATGCGATGGCAAGAGCAGCACCGATGGGGTTCCGGGTTTGAGGTTCGGGTTTTTAATATCGGCTATATACCGCTATGACTGTTTCCAACCATCTGTTGTTTCAAGGGTACCATTTAAAGCAGTTTAGGCTTCTGCAGGTTGTGATGAGGCTTTTGTCTTGCTATGAGTGGCGAAACTGACGACGCGCGCCTGTCCTAAAACTGGTTTCTGGTTCTCGGAACGCATGCCTCAATGCATCTTCCAAACTGAAAACCATGCCCTGCAATGTGTAGCCGAGGCTCAAGGAAGATCTCTGAACTTAGACTCGTTACTACGAAGAAAGTAGCAATCTGTACAACTGTTTTCAAGTCGCTTAATAGCTAGAACACAATCCGTCAAATTCCTTCTGAATCTTATAATGACAACACCGCATTAAAAAAAACAACTTAGAACAACCCCTGCTTAGGCCGTATACAACCCTCGCAACGCCGCCACCTCAAATGCTTTCGCGTACCAGGATGCTTCACTTTCCCGAAGACGGCGCGGTTAAAGGATGAAGATGCTTCTTGCTCACTCTTCACCTGGTTTAGGCTGTAGGGCTGTGCCTTCGCTTCCAGGACCTTTCTGGTAACCCCAAATCCAATCGGGGGTATATGGGGGTTTCCGAAAATAGGGGACCCTAATGTAGCACCCTAAATAGTAGGACCCTTATTATAAGGACCCCAAAATAAGGTACCCCTTATTTTCGGAAACTCCCATATGGTCTCTCATGGGTTCTTAGGGGCTAATGGAGAGAAGGTCTCCGGTTGCTGGGCTTAGTTGAAGGCTCTTGTCCAGGTTTAGGGTTTAGGGTTCAGGGTTTCTTGTCATTGTCCATCTGTCCAACAATGTCAACATCCGAAAGTCATTCAGGGCTTTCATGTTCAGCGCTACTTACAGCAAGGGATCCTCATACTAAGGACGAAGGATCCAACGGCTTTCGGACAAAACTCGGGCTACCCATTTATCAGCTAGCATCTGCTTATACTGGCTATACTGGAAGGGTCATAGGCAGTCATATGTAGAAAACAAGTCACGACGGCGTCCAAGTTGTGATCTGTAGTCTAATTTACACAGACTTAAATCTGGAGGCCCTCCATGCCAACTTGAATCCCGACCCTTCGTTCAACAGCGTCCCAACAACCTTTCTCTCTCCCTCTCTCACTCTCTCTCGCTCTCTCTCTCTCTCTCTCTCCCTATATCAATATATGCATATATATATATATACATACACGTATATATATATAAATATGCATATGTATGTATGTATGTATGTATGTATGTATGTATGTATGTATGTATGTATGTGGTATACACACGTGCATACATACATACGTACATACATACATACATACATATGTACTCGTGCAACTCATAATGTATGTATGTATGCGCATATGCATGCATGTATGGGTGTATGCATGTATGCACGTGTGGATGGATGGACGGATGTCGTATGTGTATGTGCATGTGTATGTATGTATGCATGGATGTAGGTCTGTAGACATGTATGTACTTTGGGGGGGGGGGCTTAAGATATGCATGTATGTACCACTGTATGCGTGCCTTCAGTTTACATCAACATACTTACCATTGGTCCTCTGGGGTGCAAACGTCTAAACTCCATGCCGACCGTATCCCTAAACCCTAGACCCTAAACCGTATGCTTTGCCCTCAAGTTATGCATCAACATACATAGATTGCTCCTCTGGGGCGAAGACGTCTAAACTCTATAGACCCTAAACCGTGTGCCCCAAACCCTAGACCCTAAACATCCCTAAACCTTACAGTAAGCCCTAAACCCTAAACCTTAAACCCTAGACCCTAAACCCTGACCCCGAACTGCGTGCCTGCATCATGGGCTCTCGGTCCAAAGCTAAAACGAAGTCTGCCATGGCCTGGTGCGCTCGGAAGTATCGGTCGGGTTTAGGGTTTACGGCCTCTGAGGTTTGGGGTTTGAGGTTCTGGGTTTAGGGTTTGGAGATCTATATACATCTCCGAAACGTTGGGAAAGCGATTCGAGCTGCATTCTGGTGTGGGAAATCGGAAAGACAAACTTGGAGCTCATGAAAGATCTACGGCTTCACATCTCATTGTCTGGACACGCTGTCCGTCCCCACTGCGTATGGCCAACCATCTGTACAGCTTTGAGGGAGGCATGGCTAAAGGACACTTCTAGCCCGGCACTCCAACCATAACTAAAAACAGGCAGCCCAACCATTTTTGGGTTTAGGCTTTAGCAAGGAATCCGAAGACCACCACCTCCAAGCCTTCAAATTCTATTCCGAAGCCTCAAACTCAAACCCGGTTCGGGGGCTTACACTCCGGTTGACCCCTTGTGGTTCCTTCCGAAGCTTCCAGTTTAAGCTTCCTTTAAGGGATTCGTCTTTGTATTCAGGCCGCTGGGGTTCAGGGCATTCTGTGTATGTAGGCTTTAGAGGTGGTGTGGAGCTTTCGACTCTCACTCTCGCACACAGCAGGCAAGGGAGCTTTAGGGTTTGGGGCATTTGGGATTTCAGCTTCTAGTGGCGGGTGCCTCGGGCTATCTTGTACCTTAAACAGTCTACCCAGAAACTCACAGCCCTTTTCGATCACTGCAGACATACATCCTAATCTGAAATGAAGGGTTTAAAGTGTAGGGCACCTTTCCGTACCAAACATGAGCCAATGAAGTCCGCACGAGGCCCAGCGAGTCCAAGACCCCTTTAAAATAATGTGTTGCAAGCCTTAAGCCGCTTGAGGCTCAACGGTTTAGGGTTTAGGGTTTAGGGTTTAGGGTTTAGGGTTTCTGTGAATGTTGACGACAACACCCGTACCTCAAACCCTATACCCTGAACCCTAAAATCGGAGAGGAGGCCCCTTCGATCCTTCGCAGTCCGCAGCGTGCGGTGATACTGTGTGGGCTCACCGTGGGTAAACCTTGGAGGCAGCCATAGGCCACTAAACTTACTAAACCCTGCACTCCCTAACCTTACACCCTAACTAAACCACGGCCACTGGTTGGGGATCAATCTATGGTCGGAAAAAGATTTGGCATAGTACAGGAATCGAGGCTTGCATATTGCCCAGACCACCGGGCTCAATCGCCAGTAGCGGGGCTGTGTTAACCAGTCTTCTGCCTGCTGGGCCTCCGCCCTGAACCAAATGCATGGAAACCTAAAACCCATATCCTCAGGCCGAAGATGCTCATGCATGCATAAAGTTTGTCTTGCAATCACTGCGGTCCCCTCATGGCGTCAGAATCCACCACAAACATCCGGTCCATTCTGTCGGTCCGCGACAACACCCCCTTCAAAACATCAAGAACTGACATCAACGCATCGATGCATGATCCTGAGCCTAAAAACTGCTAAAACAATATGAAGCCGTATGAAGTCCACAACACTTTAAACACATCCACTATAAACTTGCATGCCCTATGATAAACCCTGTTCGGGTTATTCAGACCGCCAACAGGGGCCACTGTGCCTGCTCTTTTGAACCTAGTCAGGGATTATGATTATAGGGTCTAGGCATCAGGTTCCCAGATGTGGCAGAAGGTTTCGAGTTGAAAGTTTAAGTCGTTGGGTCAAATCTCAAGCCATCAGGGCTTCGTGTTCAGGATTTACTGTAACGTGTCGGGGTGTTGGTCTTTCCTCAGCGGCCCGAATCCTACTGAGCGCAAAGGAGCCCAGCCCAAAGCCTAGACCCATGCGAGAAGCTAGGGTGCCGAAATGCCAGGGGTGACCTAAACCCCTTAATCCTAGACCGTGGCGAGGTCTCAGCCGGGGCGCCAGAGGAGCTGCGGGAATCTTCCGCTTACTACGTACCTCATCAGGGTGGGCTTTTGTGATATCGGGGTTCATTCGACAAGTCTTTTAGGACACGGGAGAGCCACAGGTCCGGCAGTTGGGGGGGCGGGCTCTCGATACAGCAACCAAAGATGTTGTGCCAAACGCACAAATCCTAAATCTTACACCCATGTAGCCTTGTGTAAGCCTTTCGCCGTTGAGGGCTTCAGCTTGCAGACTTCGAATTGTCTGATGTCCTACGTGCCTGCGCTGTTCGATGCTCGTTCGGCTTCACATTGCCGTACCATGATTGAATCTGCGCTATGCAACTGCCATTAGACGGAAACGGCCACCGTGCATGCATACATGTCTATATATATATATACACATACATACATACATACATACATACATACATACATGCATACATACATACATACATACATACATACATACATACATACATACATATATACAGGCGGAGAGGACGGTCTGTTGCTTGTGGTAACTGAGTTTGCGACATTCGCCCCGGCATGTGTATATATATATATATATATAAAAATTTCTATATGTAGATTATCTGTATAAAATATTATACACACACACATATGAGCCAGGGTCAAAAATATTGTTTGTTTCTGCAAGCTTCGTCCTTAGATTAAGGCGCTCCCTATCGTTTTATAATGTTTGCAACTTGAAGCGTGCTGGAACAAACGATACACTGCTTTAGAGATGGGAGATGCAGTATAGAACATGCGGCATTCCAGTACGTGGCCTTGGGTTGGGGGCCTTTGGCGCCTTTCGGGGTCCGGGCTTGTGGTTGTTTTGCATTTCGAACAAGTAAATGGTATCGTGCAGTCTTCAAGAACTGGTAGAGGCTTCTGAACTGTGGAGGGTCGGTTTGGGCCTGGGGTTCAAGCTCTCGGGTTTAGAGATGTTTGGAGTCTTCAGTTTTGGGGCTTTCGGGCTTCTGGCCCAAGGAATAGTACCGAAGCAGTACTCGGACGGCCACGGCCCCATGTACGCCACTCGGGGTTACATTTTGGGGCATCGTTCGGGTATCGTTCTGTCCAATTTGGGAACATCGTCTAATTTCCTATGTTTCCATCAAAAACCTCGACGCCCTCACTAAAGCATAATCTCCCGAAACCCTCTGCTTGTCAGGAAACCGCCAGCAATTGCCATCTTCGACAACCACTTGCTTTAACACCCATATACGATTATTTTCGACACCGGCTCATAAAAATACATAAATAAGAAAATACAGAAATCAATAAATCAATAATACATACATATGTGCATGTGTATGTATTTGTATATATGTGTATACATATATATATATATATGATCCCGGTTCGGCCGGCCCCCCCCCCCTCCCCCCCCCAATGGTTCCTCCTCCCCCTCCCTGTGGTGTGGGGTGGTTGTGGGTTGCTTCCCCCTCCCTGCTGTGGTGGTGTCTTGTGGTTGGGGAG